CAAGCCCAAGCCAAGGGAAAGCGTATAAACTATGTGATTTAGTTTGCTTAGATTACTAGAATTTATGCGCTCCTTAATATAATTTATATTTAGCAGCAGATTTATTAATGTTGACGTTTGATATTTGAAAGCATATTATATTAGCTGTATATATGTAAGAAAATTCATTAGAATTTTCTTATATTTGCTTTTGTTTTTTTTCTTAACATAAATATTTTTCCTTTCAGCTTTTTTGTTTTTTGAATTGGAAATATGATCTGAAAGCATTAAAGCCTTTAGACAAATTGTTCTCGTCTCTGTCTGGTAGCTCAAATTGTAAAATGAAATACGATAATATTTAAAATGGTTAATGGTGTATATTGACCTGCACAAGCTTATTGTTTGACCTTTGATCGACCAAGGCCAAGAGCGCGCTAAAGTTTATCAATTCCCGCAGGGCCCGAGACGGAAAGCAGCCGAAAGACGTTTATTGAAAATGCTTTGAGCGCGGACACGTACCAAAAGTAAAAGGAATAAAACTTTTTTACCACGACATTCCCGAGTACGTGAGTGCACTGAAAAGCTGTGTAATTAAAAGTAGAATCTATATATACATATATATTTAATATATATGTAGGTATATATGTAACGTTTAATATATATATTTTAAGACAACTTTCTGCTTGATATGATAAATCCACTTAAGCCAATTCGGCAAATAAAATTGAAACGTGCGTGGCAAAAACAGTCAATGCAGAAGACGACGCAACAAAATTGCCAACTTTTAATTGTGAAAGTTTTAGTGTGGATGAAAATTGCGAGGGAAAGCCGAGCCACGCGCATAGACTGAGCGCAGCTTTACCACACAGCAGGTGTGTCAAATTGTTGCTGCTCGCATTAAGGGGCCAATGGGAAAATGGCCGGAGGCAAAGTTTCTTACTTACGTACGTCCTGCTCATAGGATCTGCTGTCATTTCGTGTTACTTGTCATCAGCTTCATGCGTTTTGACATTTTTATTAGTCGAATACTCCTTAACAGCACGCTCCATTGCTCCATCGCTTTGGGGGGCTCCATCTGTCGCTCCCTCTCTCTCGCCCGCATTCTCTTTTCTATATACATCTTTTTGTATTCGTCTCTATTTCCCTTATTCAGAACTTGTGACATCTAATAAGTGTTTACTACCCAACAAGCATGCTTTGCCAGTGCTTTAAAGCATCAGGGGGAGTTTAAGTGTGTGTGTCTGTTACAATTTGCTGCCCTGCTGGATGCTGCACGCTCCTTACCTCCTGCGACAACCCCTCACATATTCCCAGTCGATAAAGAACGAACAAATTGTGCGCAAAACACTTTTTTCTCTTCAAACTGCCAGCTTGAATTGTTTTTATTTATTTCTCTGTGCGTTTTAAGCAAAGACGTAATTTGGACGCTTGATAAATGTGCTTGATTGATTGATGTCAAAAGCATATTAATATATAAATAAAACATCAAAAATATATTGACAAATTTTATAAATAGAAATTATTTCATCATAAATTCTGGTAAATGCTACAAATATTTATAAAATAAATACAACATCAATTTAAATCACATTTAAACTGCTATTGTATGAAAATGCGCTAATTAGGGCTCTGTAAATTGCTGTAAAAAGCTTTCGCATGTTTATTTGGTCGACTCTCATGTGAGGCAAATACAACAACAGACTCACATATGTAGCTTTAATTTATGCAATTAAACTGCTTTAATTAGTTAAGCAACGACTGCAAGAACAACAACAACAACGACAACAACAAAGAAGGAAAACAACAGCTGTTGCATAAATAAGTATGTACATTTGGCCAGTAAAAATAAAGGAGAGAAACCGCATTAAAACAAATATATACATAAATATATACATAATACATATATATATATATATATATATATACATATATATATACGTATATATATTTTAACCATTCACAATTTCGTTTATTTTGCAAAAACCAAAAACCAATTTAATTTGCACACAAAATAAAAAAAGGAGAAAAACTTATAAACAAAATACGTAAAATTCTTGAAAAGGCAAAATAAAACAGCTGCATGAGCACAAAAACTTAAACCATATTAAAGTTGTACGTCATGAAAAAAGGCTTAAATTAAAAATACAATTTTTTATGCACATATACAAATACAAATTTGTATGCACATCAAATATTTATGGATAAAAACTGTGTCAAAAAATTATTAGATAAATATTTATAATCAAAGTCATAAAAATCATATGATCAAATTCTTGCACTTATGTTTTTATTATTTTAAATTTTAAATGCATATATATGCCCAAAAAATTTATTGATAATTTGTTTAATGGTATATTTATACTGATGAGAAATTATCTATATTTTTATAATATATAAAAAAATGTTTAGAGTATTATTTTTCTTTTTTATCAATTTTTGCAAAGAAAAAAAAATATATATATATATATACATTAATAAATATATACAAACATTTAATTAAACACAAAACTATTCCAGCAAATAAGTTATATATTAAATAAATATAAAATATCTTTACCACACATTTTTGGTCGAACCAACTTTAATGTCTAAATGAGCATACAAAATATTTATAATTGATATTTGTAAAAGAATTAGCTAAAATGTATAATTAAAAGTTTAAAGCTGGGAAATAATTTAATTACAAATAAAAAATATGACATTCCATGCGAAGTATATGAAATTCCATGTGCAAGCAAGTTAAATAAATGAGAGAGCAAAAATGTGAAGTGCACTACGTAGAGATACACAAATAATGATAACAAAATATGGAAATTGCAACTTCATTTCATTCATATATCGTATGTAATAATTTTTGGAATTTTTCTGATCCAATTTCGTGTAATTCCCCCCATTCTGCAATTCATTGAAATGTGCACAGTTTTCGGAGTTCAAAGTTTAGTGGCGCCAGGGTCCCATTTGGCCGGATCGTTCAGATTGTGTAAATGTTTATGATGCGCCAAAAGAGAAACCAAAGCCATGCAACGTCAATGTCCATTTGCAAAAGTTGTCCCAAGAAACGGAAGGCAATTGCTAGCGGGCAAGGGGGACATCACTGTGGGCAACTTTTAAGCAGCTGGCGAACGTTCCAACTTGACGCAGGAGAGTGTAAGAGGGGACAGTCCGCTGTGCGAGCGGAGGGAAGGTTGACAGGGGTGTCCAGTTCCAGCTCCAGCTCCAGCTCCAAGCATCAGCGAAACTTTTAAATGAAATTTTTACCTTAAAGTTTTGTCAGGTAAGTTGCGCACCAATGCGAGCAAGCTGGCTTAGGTCAACCAGCAAAGTCTGCGGTCTACCGCAGTCAGCACACACACCTGCACACCTGCACGCCTACACACACCCACAGGCACCCACATAATGCTGTATTGTCACGTAGCTTGGTGACAGATTCCAAAAGGCAGGCAAATAGCATTAGAACAACAAACGGCAGCTAAGCAGCAGCATTATGGCTACTAAGGATGCTGATGGCCTGTTGCAGGCACAGCACAGCAGTCCCCACTCTCTGCTAGCTCTCGTAACAAAAGTTTTGTTTTAATGTCTCAGCAAGTGTTGCCGTCGCGTAGTCTCTTTGTGTGCCATTCTAGAGCCAAAAAAAGAATGAAATTAGCAACATATGCGAGAGTTTGCCAAAAAAAAAAACTCTAGTGTAAGAGTGACCAGCTAGCAGTTACCCTAACTTTAGAGCTCAATCGAAGAACATATAAAGCTAAATAGCTTTTAGGCGAATGATGTGAAGTTTTCGGTATTTACAGATAATATTCATAAACCACAGCAAATTTGTATGGAAAATCTGTGAGTTTCTCAAGTAAAGCTTCGTAAAGTTCTCATAAAATGAAGTAAGAGAGAATATACATGAGAAACTCATTCAAACTTTTTGGCTTTAAAAATGCCTTAAACTCTCTGCTACACACATTTGCAATTTGCTTTTTATTCTTGTAAAGGATATAAAAAGGATCACATACAGCCTTTAAGCTAAGCTGCTGCAGCAGCATTTGAAGTAATTACAGCATTTCTTTTGCACACTCGTATTTACATATATATGGATATAATTCTAACGTTTTATATAGCATTAGCGTTAATGTTTTTTTGGTTTAAGACCTTGTCTAAATGTTTTTTGTTGTTGCCAAAAAATTATGACACTCTGATTCAGATTCCAGCGGCTCTCAGTTTGCATTGCGGCGCTAAAGCCGAAAGCTAATGCGTTTTTAAATATGCTGCAGCGGATGCTGGGTTAGCATTAATTAACAGGCGCTCAGGCCCAGCCGCAGCACGGCATATTGTGGTTACAAAGAGTCGTAGGAGTGAGGGTGCAGAGGGCGTGGCGCTTATGCCAGAGACAGGCGTGGCGTGACTGAGCTGCAAGGACATTAGCTAACTGCGTTGCGGACTGCGTTTGATAAGCTGACGAGTTGCTCTTATAAATGAAAATATTTGGCTTGATTTAAAGATGATGCTACGTGTTGAAAAGTGACTAAAGCTGCTTAGTTTTTGCAAATATTTAATACATTTATAATGGCTTTTTAAAGTAAACTTTAGTACTATTTATGCAAATAACAAGTTTTCTTTATATAACAAATACATTAATGTTTTAAAAATGAAATTTCTTAGAAAATCAGTCGAAAGCTTGACATTATAGTTCTACTCTGTTTGGGTTTGCCAATAAACTCTGAAGTGAAAATCTCTTAGGGTCTTGGTATTAATATTTTATCAAACTTTGCTGACCTACCTTATTAACTGGATTTTTTTATTTATAATAACTCCAAACTCTTTTTTTGCAATGCCTAACTATATGTTTTTCCATGTATAATTCTACGTTTTAAATCACGATTAGTCTATCTAGGTTTTAGCTATAGTTTTGTGTTCTATTTATTTCCTTCTCTACAGTCAACATATATATATATATTTATCTTAAAAAATACCTTGCCGCAATCAATTTGCAGCTTTAGTTTCTTTTTATATATATATTTAACTCGCTCACTCACCTGTTGCTTTGGCGCTGGTTTGTCTCTCTGCCACGGGGCGTATGCTTAATGTTTTAATTAAATCTTTTACGTTTCTTTGCTTTACTTATTATTCCCTTTCTGCTGCTGGACACACGCGACACTTGGCAAAGGACACTCGAAACACTGAGCAATAAAAATGGCGCTTGTTACTTGATTTCAATTTCTAACGGGCTTATGTTTGCTTTAGTTGGGGCAGCTACACAAAAAATACTTGCACAAGACATCGTGTAATAAGCCGCACTTGTACACACACACACAGAGAACGGGGCACAACTAGCACATGTATTTGTTGCTGGCCGTGTCCTTTTTGTTGTCGTCGGCGACGTCCTTTGGGCTTGTCGTGAAAGGCAACAGCTTGAAATGCTATTAAAATATAATCTGCTGATAATCTGCACTTAATTTCGTGCTTTGCTCAATGCAGGACACAGGACACACACACACACACTCACTCACTGTTTATGGAAAAAAAGAAGAAAAGTGTGTGTAATGTGCTTGCCACAAGGCAATCGTCGTCAGCTGTGCACTGTCGTTAGTTGTCCTAAGCCTTGAGCAACTCCTGGCCCAGATTAAGCTACACTAAATAATATTCGTGCCTTTTAATTTTTCTTACTTAGTTTTTCTTTACATTTTGTTGGTTTCTATTTTGGGGTCTTTCGCTTCTTCTTTTTTTTAAACTCGTTCACTTGGTTACTCTTTTTATACCCTGATCCCATTAAAAATGGGAAATCAGGGTATAATGGTTTTGTGCAAATGTATGTAACAGGCAGAAGGAGGCGTGGCAGACCCCATAAAGTATATATATTCTTGATCAGGACGACAAGCCGAGTCGATTGAGCCCTGTCCGTCTGTCTGTCTGTCCGTCTGTCCGTCTGTCCGTCTGTCCGTCTGTCCGTCTGTCCGTATGTGTGAACGCGTGGATCTCAGCATCTATAAGAGCTAGAGACTTGAAATTTTTTTTGTAGGTCCGTGTATAGCACGCGCAGGTCAAGTTTGTTTCAAATATTCGATAACTATTCGCATTTAATTGTTATCGAATAAAAACATTATTGAAATGCAGTAAATAAATTATATCTCGAACGTCTTAAGAGCTAGAGCCTCCAAATTTTGTATTTAGTGTTATGTATATTTTATGCAATTTTGATTTTTGTTGGATTTTGGATACCGGCTCCAAATTCCCCCAAATTCTTAGAATTTAAGTTTAGTTGGAACTAGGGCCATTATGTGAAGGCGTTTGCATCTCAACCAAGCCAATAGGATATGTAGATCATATGCTGAAAATTTCATTAAAATCCATTAAGTAAAACAGAAGTTATTAAACAAAACGTTTGGCCAATTTGCAAAAGCACATGTCAGCAGCGCCACGCGCACGCATTTTTCCTATGCGTGTGCACACATACATTCAAATGCGTGTATACTTTTCTATTCCAAGAATTGAAATTGCGATTGAATTGTGCTGAATTATTAGCTGCTACTTATGTTCAAATTTGCAACAGCTCGCGTAAGAAGGGCAGTGGCTGCGTTGGTAGAGGCACCTCTCGGATGCAGCTTGGTCCGGGTTCGAGACCAGAGGAGATGAAATGTTTTTTATTGTTTTATATTATTTATTTATTTTTTTTTTTTAGTTATGAAGTGGCGGTGTTGGTAGAGTTTGTGCACGTTGCGCAAATAATCCGGGTTCGAATCCTGGTCTCGCAATGTCGATTTTTATTTGTTTTCTTTTTTTTTTAATACTCGATACAAACTACGGAAAATATTACAAAACTCAAAGGACTGGGATCAGGGTATCTCCTAGTCGGGCACCCCGACTAGAGCTTTCTTACTTGTTATAAATTTTATTGCTGCTGTCTTTCGTTGAATCTGTTTTCTTTTTTTTTTTGTTCACATTTTTTTGTCAACCTTTTTGCTGAGCCTTACGCTTCGTTGCTTTTTAATGTTTGTTACGTTTGCTGCTGCTTTTTTTTATTCTTGCACAACTACAAATGCGCTCATGTGCGTGTGTGTTGATTTCCTTTGCTGTTACCTTTTTGATACACTCGCACTTTTCTTTGCTGTTCTCTTTTTTTTTTGCTATTGAGTTTTGAAATTTATTAAATTTTTTTTTCTTTTCTTTTCTTTAATCAAATTTCCACTTGATTGGAGTGACGACAATTTCGTTGATTTCCGTTTGCTCCCGTTACTGCCGTATTGGTGGGGGAGTACGTGTGCGTGTGCGTTTTGTTATGTGTATGAGTGGGTGTTGGAAATTGTGTGCGTGTTGGAAATTAATAAGAGAAAAAAGCATAGAGTTTATATTAGTTAGTGGGCATTGAAACTTAATTTTACAAGACTAGAATTATATTTATTAGCCATGTGATTCATAGCTTAATTCACAGAATCTAAATTAGTGTATTTCCAAATATATTATATATTTGGAATTTGGAGTCAACATTTACTGAGTTTATTATCATAATTATTTCTTATTATAATTAGAAGTGCAGAAAAGCAAATATACAAATTGACTTGGGTGGAATATAAATTTTTTATACAAAAAATTTGATTTTAAATGTTTCGTCCTTAACCCAGTTTTTAAATTAAGCAATTACCTTGACTATTGAGAAGACTTTGTCTAAATATCAGAATTTATTTTTAAACCTTAACTAAAAACTAATAATATAATTTCTTAAATCTAATGTTAAACCTATGCCCTGCTGAACCTGTGCTTCATGCAAAGTCTTACACGTTGGCTCTTAACATCTCGAGGCATTGCCACAACATTCTCTCTTGCCGTAATTCGGTTAACAAACTCCAATTTCTGAATTTGTTATTGACTGTCTTAACAGCAATGTAAATTATGATTATACATTTAAGGCTATTCACTGAAATTCTGGTAATAAACTCTCCTTTCTCAACATCGTTAGTAACAATTGCAGCTATATTAACCCACACTCAAAATTTCACCTCTGGTGCACGTTACTCGTTCACCCAAAAAGTGATTTCGATTGAACATGAAAGTTGCGCCAACTTTTCGAATTGCAATGCATTTAAACAATTTGTGAAGTCAGAGTCTTAACATAACGGTGTCGCGCATTGTATTACATTGTCGACAATCGCTTTTTATATTTTATTCATTTTGCCAATCTCGCTGCGAGGCTGTGGCTATAATCAAAAACCACTAAGACGCCTCTTTGGGAAATGGAAATGGGCTTAAAGCAATTTCATTTCCTGTAACTGTTTTCATTTTTTTTAGTCCTGGATTTTTAATTTAATTCGTCGCATTTTTTACTCGCCGCGCACTCACTTAATTTTCTTCTTTTGCTTGTGTAAATGTTTTTAAAAAAATAATTTGGCTTTTTTCTCGTTTTTTTTTCTTTCTTTCTTTTTTTTACCAAGCCAACTTCCAGATCCTCTTAGCGTGGCCTTTATATGCCTTTTGCTGGGGCGTATGTACATAATACCCCAAAATGCAACACCGAGGCATTAACACACACACACACGCACGCACACACACGCAGGCGCTCCCATTCACGTAGCTTAAATAAAATTCGTTTTCTCAACTTCATTTTTTTTCTTTTCTGTTGGTAGTCATTTAGTCAGTCGCTCGCGTGTCGACACTCAGAAATATAATAATTTTTTTTTTGGTTGCTTCGTTGCCGCAGACTATAAAATATTTAATTTCCTCCACGCATCTGAGGTTTATAATAATTCCTTCCGGTTATTTTTGACGCAGAGTGTTTCTAATTCCCGCAAAAGCTATTTGGACGCAAGACATCCGCATGGCCGCCAATTCTAGCCTAGCTACAAGAATTTCCATCAAGAAAATTTAAATCATTTTTTCTTTCACACGATTTTCCTCCCTCGCCCTTTTCCGCTCTCTGTATGTTTCTGGCATTTATGCTTCATTTACTTTTGATGCTTTTTTCTCTGCCAGCCATGTTTTTCACGTTGTTTTTTTAGGCGTTTAATGGTTTATTGTTGACGTTAGCTTAAATTATTATGTTTACTTGCACTCAAATGTTAAATGAATTATAGCCAGCGCAAAGCAAAGAAATATATAGAATATGCCATAAAATTATTGGCTTAGGCATATCATATAAAATTGAAATACATTTGGATTGCTTTCAATTTATTTTGATAAAAAATTTGCCGTTGCTTTTTAAATAAAAATTAATTGTCGTTGTGCTCATAAATCATAGCAAAGCATGTAGAAAAATAGATTCGAATGTTTATGGATAAACATTTTGGAGAATTATACTCTTTTTGTTAATTTAATAATTTACGCTAAAATATTTTTTAAAACCAATTAGTTGTTAAACATGGTTTTAGTTTTTCTATATAATAGTAAAAGAAAGAAGAGCTAAGTATCCTGCATATATACATATTGTAATATGCTACATATTTGGAAGGCTTTTCATATGTTCAATCTTAAACTTCATCAGATTCTCTATGTATAAAACTATATTGCATAATATATATATATATTGCATAATATATATATATATTGCATAATATATATTGAAAATCTATGCGTTGCTGTTTTACTAATAGCAATAATAATATATTTAGCATAAACTATTTGCTTAGTGCGAGCACAATCACGATTTTATTTAGTTTTTTAAATTTAAGCTCATTTATATAATAAATCAAGCAATAAATAAATATTAAATATATGCAATTCTAATTTCAAATCAACCAAAATATTTTATAAATAATTTCATTTATAAAAATGAAGAGAAGCAACAAAAATATATTGTAAAATTTAATTAAAATTATTCCTGGCAGTTTGACAATCTAACAAGAAAACTGTTTAGCTACAAGCCTTATGAACGACCAAAGCAATATAAGTTTTCATTCATTAGCAGCTTTTGTATTTATCTTCGCTAATCCAATTTGATTTCTGCGAAAATGTTCTCTTACAGCATTTTCATTTTTGAGAATTTCACAGATTTTCAATTGAGCTTTGGTAACAAATGAATTTCTCTTTCAATGGGTCAAAATTGAGAGCTTTGTTTTTGGGAACTTAGTGAAATTGACTTTTTTTAATAGAAATTTTGCTTGCGCAACGAAACTTCATTGTGTGAGTATGTATTCGCAGCTAACAGCGCCAAAGTAGCTGTTGGCTACTCAAGTTTGCTTTTATGAGCTGACTAATTAGTTTTATTTGGACATATTTTATTAGCTGAACTCCAAGGCGCGTGGTAATTAAATTAATTAGAAACCTGTCGAGAGACGTTCGCTAAATTAACCGTGAGGCATCATAAACTCGTTTTATATTTTCATTTAAATACACACGCAAGCCCTCGCACACACACACTTTTGATGGCATTTTAATGAGGTGTTTGACGGTTGGCAAGCGGACAAGCAGTGCATTAATTAAAAAGGGTTTTTTCTTTCATTTCAGGTAGTCTCCAAAAATCGTCGTCTGAAGAAAAATATTTGAAATGAAGCGAGAACCCTAAGCAAATGCTTTAAAAATTGCTTTAAGCTCACGCATCGCACGTGTTCGATGTTGTCCTTTTTTTTCATACTCCGCCTTGACTCGTTTTTTTTTTTATTGTTTTTCTTGTCAATCTCAGGCCTAGGGACATATTTTCAATTGAGTTCAACGCACTCGCCCTCAGCTTCCTCATCGAATCTCTCAGTCTCACACTCTCGAGCAGCTAGGCCTCTCTTACATATCGCTTTAATTTCCGCTTGAATGCAAAGCAAAAGGTTTCCC